CTTAAGAAATTAAGAAAATGCCCTTGAGAGGTAAAATAGTCCAAGTTGACCTTGAATGAAAAAGAACTTTGAGGATTCTTACTTAACTCGATTAAGTACAGATTTGATTGTTAAGATCCTGACTTAGTGCAGAAAATTCCTGATATTCCGTTTGTAAAATCTGAGAAGACATTTGACCCGAAAATATCCGAGTTATGAGTAAATACCTGAAGAACAATTTATCGAGGGTATTCTTTTGACAGAATTGTTCGAAATTACTGAAATAAGTGATAAGTTTGAATTTGATAGTAAGATCGGACGGAAGGAAATGATTGTAATACACTGGATCTGTAAAATGACCAGAATACCCTTAGAATGCAAATGACCAAGAATATTACCAAGCTCAGGAATGATTGGATATCCTTGAGCTCTGAAATAAATGGACTATAATTGAGCATCAAAATGACCAAAATATCCTTATGGCCTAGAATAAGATTAATTTAGAAATTCAAATAAACATAGATGTTGTACTACTATTAAAAGTTATGGAACGCAGCTTAAGTGGTCAACTAATGCTAGTGATGTATCATTATCTGAATTATATAAGTACCACTTGAATGTTGGTTCGTCTCATTAAGTTTGGATTGATGATAATTTTGGAAGTAACCAGCTCAGCTCAACTATGGATCACATCTGGTACTAAGAAATGAATATTCGTTAGAGAAATTAACCACGACGATCAAATTGAATTGAACGAAAGTACAATAGGTATCTGAAATTTAGAAACGTATGTATTACTCTGGAAAATCCTGAAGTAACCAGAATGGACTTGAATACTAAATGAACTAAGTAATCTCAAGGACTGAGGATTAAATAATTGATTTGGATGAGTCTGGGAATGCTAATGAACTTACATGATGTATTGTACTTCTGGGTCATGAACTACAAATCAAGCATGTCACCATTTCATGATATTGTGGAAGCATGGAAATGAAATAAAGACATTGGAAGATCTATTCAGCAATGATTCTGAAGATGATCTATGGACAAGAATTTGTGGTATTAAAGAGTAATTATCCTGTAAGAACAATGAATTGACCAATCGACAAGCATTAGTTCTAGGAACTATTCATTTAAGAGTTGTTCGATAACCAGATCAAACAACATATTTTGTATAAAGATTCCTGAACACTTTCATGATGCACATGAATCATAGAGGAATTCTAAAGTATCAACCTTAAATGTCGGATTAGATTTGGTTAGCAATCGATTCCCTTCAATAGGACCGACCTCATTTTTGGAATCTAATCAAATTACATCAGTTTCATGTTATCCATTCTAATAACTACTAAGTGTCTCTGAGAAATACTTGGATATCCTAGTGTGTTCCACATGTACCATATGACGATTTTATATGTTTTTAAATGAGTTTCACCGAAATTATTGATTTACTAGTTTATGAACCATGGCAACATGTTATATGTTTTCCGATTACTGGTTTCACCGAAAAATATGAATTATTCCTGATTTATGACATCATGGAAACTATTGATTTTATGAACGATAGTTACTTGAAATATGTTATCGGGTTTCCTGTTTTCACTGGAAAATATGATCTTAATAAATCACATATTGAATATTTTTATGAGACAATACCCGATGTTCTGAATACAGCTTATTTTGATATATGATTTACCACATATTTCTGATATGGTTTCTGGTTATAGTATTTTTGTACCTGATTTCTAAATATGAAACATTTTCATATTTTAATGGATTAATTATCGTTACAGCATGCTCCTTTGCTGTGTGTAATGGTAAGTCTTACAGTTTTCTCCAGGTCCCTTTGTTGTGTGCAAGGGTAAGCCTTACAGTTTCCCCCAGGTCTCTTTGCTGTGTGCAAGGGTAAGCCTTACAGTTTCCCCCAGGTCCCTTTGCTGTGTGCAAGGGCAAGCCTTACAGTTTCCCCCAGGTCCCTTTGTTGTGTGCAAGGGTAAGCCTTACAATTTCCCCAGGTTCCTTTGCTGTGTGCAAGGGTAAGCCTTACAGTTTCCCCAGGTTCCTTTGCTGTGTACAAGGGTAAGCCTTACAGTTTCCTAGGTTCTTTTGCTGTGTGCAAGGGTAAGACATACAGTTTCCCGAGGCTCTTTTGCTATGTGCAAGGATAAGACCTTATAGTTTTTGCATGCTCATTTGCTTTGTGCACATGGTAAATATGTTTTAAACTGCTACTATTTTAAAAGATATGTATCTTTTCACTGGTTTTACGGGAACACACTAGATAACCTATTCTGATCTCCTGAACTCAGTCATCCGAAATATTTCTCTATACTGAAAGCTCACTATCTGTTACTACCTGAAATATCAGTAGGATCTCTGCTCAACATAAAGATTTGTAGATGTCTGATCTGATAAGAAAATATATGTTTATATGTATCTGCACGTTCTTCAGCATCATCTGGTAGTTCTGTATTACTGAGCTTTCCAAAGCTCACTCTGTTACTCACCTTTTCAGGCTAAAAGAATCGTACCAGTGTATCTATCGACATCAGTAATGAAGTTCTTCCGGCGTTGTTTGCGGAGTATGGTACATATGATTAGGGGGCATGTAATTGTATTTTGTTTTATATACAAGTCTGAAAATCTGTTTTATTTCTGCATACTGATAAATCATTTTATAAATTACATATTTTAAATAAGAGTTTTAAATTTTCCGCTATTTTTACAGTGAGTCGTTCCGATGGCCCTAATGTGACACTCCAGATCGGATCAGGTTACCCGAATCGATCTGAGGGGTTACACATCTTTTCAGTGACAAACTTAGTGATAGAGTTTGAAGGGTGGGGCAACTTAAAACTTTAAAAAAGCTAGAGGTTCAAATTAAGATTTTTCCAAATTTTGATGGGTTTAGTATTTTTTCCCAAAAAATTATGATCTTATTAACGCTTTTGAAATTTTTAGTGGCTTAATGAGAATTTTTAAAATTTATGGGAGGAGGTTTAATTTAAAACATTTTGAAAATTTTAAAATATAATCTGAATTTCTAAAAGTTTTGGGGAGACCAATTTTTTTTTTTTTAATTTTAAGAGTCTAAATTATAATTTTTAAAATTTTATGGGGCCATGGCGCCCTCTAGCCTAGCTTGTATTCCGCCATTGCATATTTTGAGATATAACTCGAACTTGACCCGAAACAAATATATATATAAAAATATTAATTTTATTTTATAAAATATGAATCCAATTGAAAATATAATATAGAGAGTGATATTATTAAGAGTTTTAAATTTTCCGCTATTTTTACAGTGGGTCGCTCTGGTGACCCTAATGTGACACTCCAGATTGGATTGGGTTACCCGAATCGTTCTAAGGGGTTACACATCTTTTCAGTGACGAACTTGGTGATAGAGTTTGAGGGGTGGGGCAACTTAAAACTTTAAAAAAGCTAGAGGTTCAAATTAAGATTTTTCCAAATTTTGATGGGTTTAGTATTTTTTTTCCCAAAAAATTATGATCTAATTAACATTTTCGAAATTTTTAGTGGCTTAATGAGAATTTTTAAAATTTATGGGAGGAGGTTTAATTTAAAACATTTTGAAAATTTTAAAATATAATCTGAATTTCTACAAGTTTTGGGGAGACCAAATTAATTTTTTTTTAATTTTAAGAGTCTAAATTATAATTTTTAAAATTTTATGGGGCCATGGCGCCCTCTAGCCTAGCTTGTATTCCACCACTGCATATTTTGAGATATAACTCGAACTTGACCCGAAACAAATATATATATAAAATTATTAATTTTATTTTATAAAATAGGAATCCAATTGAAAATATAATATAGAGAGTGATATTATTAAAAGTTTTAAATTTTTCGTTATTTTTACAGTGGGTCGCTCCGGTGGCCCTAATGTGACACTCCAGATCGGATCGGGTTACCCGAATCGGTATGAGGGGTTACACATCTTTTCAGTGACGAACTTGGTGATAGAGTTTGAGGGGTGGGGCAACTTAAAACTTTAAAAAAGCTAGAGGTTCAAATTAAGATTTTGCAAAATTTTGATGGGTTTAGTATTTTTCCCAAAAAATTATGATCTAATTAACATTTTAGAAATTTTTAGTGGCTTAATGAGAATTTTTAAAATTTATGGGAGGAGGTTTAATTTAAAACATTTTGAAAATTTTAAAATATAATTTGAATTTCTAAAAGTTTTGGGGAGACCAAATTAATTTTTTTTTTAATTTTAAGAGTCTAAATTATAATTTTTAAAATTTTATGGGGCCATGGCGCCCTCTAGCCTAGCTTGTATTCCGCCACTGCATATTTTGAGATATAACTCGAACTTGACCCGAAAAAAAAATATATATATAAATATTAATTTTATTTTATAAAATAGGAATCCAATTGAAAATATAATATAGAGAGTGATATTATTGTAATTATCTCTAAATATATAAGGTATACTTACATTATTTTTCGAGATGGGAAGGGTTGGTGTTTTTCAACCTAAACGCGAACCTGACTTGACCCAAACTCACCCTCTAAAAAACCCAATCCGACTGACCCGACCCAAATCCATTTTTTTTTTAAATAACCAACCCAATAAAGTTTGGTCGTATCAAAATCCGTAGAGTTCGAATCTTATACCCATCCCTAATCTACAGAATACATGTATGTTAATAAATTATTTTTTAAAATAAATATTATCGTATAATTAAAACATACTTTCATAAGAAAGTTGCATATATATTCATTGTTTACGATGCGATGTGGTTATTGATGATTGGTGTACACGAGGCTTCTCATTGTTACAAAGCGCATGGAATGTCACCGACTCCTTATAAATATGATGCTAAGGTTAGGGTTAGTCAGAAAACCGCATTAAAGCTATGTAGCTTCTACTTTCATTTTCTTTTTCGTCATTCCGTTTTTCCGTTCGTAGCTTAGTTCATAAGGAGAAAGGTGGCTTTTTAGATCCTCTTCGAGAAAATCACTCCCAAGGAGGAATTAGGGTTTCCAAAGGAATGAAGAAACGTCAGGTGGTGTTGAGAAGAAGTTCGAGCACTACATCTTTGGAGGTCCGATACGGGGAGTGCCAGAAGAACCATGCCGCGAATATCGGAGGATATGAGGTGGATGGCTGCCGGGAGTTCATGCCAGTGGCAATGGAAGGGACTACTGGGGCTTTAACATGTGCGGCTTGTGGTTGCCACCGAAACTTTCACAGAAAAGTAGAAACTGAGGTTGCCTCTGAGTATACTCCATCAAGTTCTTAATGAGATCAATAGCCAAACAACACTATAATATAGATTTTATATATTCATTTAGCTGCTTATTGCTGTTTTTATATTACTATTGTTGTACTGGTTTCTAATCATCGAATAATCTAAACCTTTTTGTACTACTCCCTGGTTTAATTTATGGTTGCAGTTTGTGTTTTCAGTTACGTTGTGTTTATCATAATTGCGGTAATAGCGGGTGTTATTGTAGTTATTAAAGGTATTCCGCTATATAACAACCTCTCTTCCACAATTTAAATCTCTGGTATGGATGACTAGATATGTAAACTCTACCAACCCCTCTCCATCTATACGTATATGTATGTTCTTCCATAAAGAGTTAAGGATTAAGATTAATTTTCTTTATAATTTCAACAGTAGATATTTACCGGATCTATTTAATGATGAAAGGAGAGGACGATAATATAAAAAGATTCGAAACTATTTTTGTATTATTAATTTGATACTTGAAAGTGTCTAATTTTTCTACTACAATAAAAAATGCACATGGAGGGAAAATGGCAACACATGGGGCAAATATATATTACTCATCCCCATAAGGCTGTAATATAATGTGGAATAAAAGTTAGCCATCTGAAATCATGTGTTAATATGTGTGGAAAACAATGGAAATGTTGGTTTTGCTTTCATGGCCCCCAATTCATAATTATAGTACTTGCACACATTACATATATATTAATGCTTTCCTTCATTCTAAATGCTTTAAGTATAATTTTTTGTTGATGATGTTTAATTATTGTTTTATTCAGCTTGGAAGTATATAAACATGCTATGACGACTTCAAAAGAGGGGGGAGAAGGTAATTAACTTGCAAATGACAGTTATATACAAGTAATAAGCTGTTTAACCTGTTTCATCTAGTTTGATCAAGTGGATGACAAAGTTTAGCTGTAAAGTCTGATTCTTGAGGCATTGTTTATTGGATTTGAAGTGATTCTTCTACTTTGTTCTTCAATCTTCTTTTGACAATGAAAGTGGTTAAGATTCTGTAGTTCTGTAGTCTTCATACATAGAGTTCCTATTTGGTATAGGTATAGGATAGTTTATCCACGAGAAAATCATTTAGGATTTGGAATATTTTATGTTTTTTTTAAATAGATTGGAGTGATTATAAGATAGTACTTGTTTAGATTTTCATAATCAATTGATAATGTTTACACAGGCTCGTCCCAAAAGATGTGGATGTCATATGCTACTTTTTAAAATGAGAACCCTAAAATATTTTATAATATAACGAAATTATAAAATATCAAAATTTATCATATTACTAGTGTTTCTTATAAAATAAAATAAATAAACATAGTAAACTAAGATAAAATCACAAAACAACTCTATAATCATGATATTTTATTTAAAAAGTGTTATATTCTGAATGCTCTTAGAAGCAAAATCGTCAACCAAATCTTCATAGTCAATTTTCTCCAAAATAGCAGTCTCAATCGCTATCAATGCAAATCCATTAAGCCTTTCTTGTGACATAGTAGAACGCATAAAGGTCTTCAACAATTTCAATTTGGAAAAGCTTCTTTCAGCAAATACAATTGTCACATGAATATTTAATAAAATTATATATGCAGTAATGCTGCATTAAGAAAAATACTAATTTTCAAAAAATTTAAAATCTCTAACGGCCTCCTTTGTTCATCAGACAAGAACTCTCTTGGTAACCTCAACTCCACATACAATTCATTTCCATCAAATTTTTCTTTATTCTTAAAAATATATTCAAAATAAGCATAATGAGACTTTAGACTCATATCATCTAGTGACTGCAACTTATGTGAAGTAAATAAAAATCCAAAAAAAAAATCATATTCTTGATATTATTCAAATCTCCTATTGTAGACACACGATTTCGTTCGACCTTGCTTTTGATATTACATTATATAATATATTCATATCTATTATATTATATGATATATTATATGGTGAATACGAATTGCATATTTATGATGTATATAGTGTGCATACATTATACCATTATATACATTGTATTCATATTTATGTTATAATATTATGCGTATATTGTATGGTATTATATATATATATATTTTATATGCATAATGTTTATTAATGATGTTTGGTTTTGTGTTAGACCCAAACCCAAGGCCCAGATACAAGTAAGATTACAAACCAAACCCAGATCCAAGACTTGACTCGAAGCCCGACCCGAATCGACCCAAGTAGGGTTTCGCCCTAGTACCAATAGCCGTCTCAACCTTTGGATCTGGACCTATTCAACGATCCAAATCGCTCCAAGAATTAGGGTTTGAGACCCTAAACTTTCTTTCCTCAACATCATATGGAGTGTTTTCATCCTAGCCACAACTTAGCCCGTCTTTCTCAGCCTCGGTGGCGTAGTATCATGGGACACAAAGACAAAGAACAACCAAAGTAGTTTAGTCCTATTAGGAGTCTAAAACGAACTAAAATAGAAATCCTAGGGCTATAAATCGATGTAAAAATCACACAAGAAACACACTGGAAAATCATATAGAAAAAGTGGGAAATCTGAGCAAAGAATTTTGTAGCTTTCGAACGAAATAGAAATAAAAAGGTATTTTTATTTTTACCTTCTTCAGCTTGCTTGCATGTAGAGTTGGGTTTTGCTTGTTGTTTCTTTTTTTTTTTAATCTAAAAAATCTAAACGGCCGATGATCGAAGAAAGAGGGCATTCGAGAGTTGTCTCTCAGATCTAGCCCTCCTCGAGGCCTTTTTGCAAAAATCGCTGTGATTTTTGAAATGGGGGAAAAGAGCTTTTGGAAAGTGTAAAACTTTTTTATTTTTTCCGCCAATAAACGACGATTGGCCGCCGTTGCGACGGTGGCCGAAATTTGGGTTCCTATGAACCCAGGCGGCCGTGTTCTTCATCTGATGAAGAACACGAAGAACAACTGCATAGAAAATGGGGGAGGGAGGCTTTAATCGATTTTGAAAAAGAAATGACTAATGAAATGTGTTTGTGATTTTTGGTATTTATACCAAACCTGTTGACCCGTATTTTTGACCCATGACCCAATCCAACTCCTCCTAGGATCCGCGTATTTTACTTGGGAAAGGGGATAATTGCAATCCCAGTCCCTTATTTGTTTTTAAAGTATATTTTGCTCCCTAAATCAAATTTTTACCCTGAGTTGCTTTTTAATTTTACCACATACTTTGTTTTTTCTTTCAATTTAGTCATGTTTATTTAATTTACATTTTAATTTAATTGTTTTTCTATTTAATTATTTTTTAATTTAATTTAATTTTACTTTTTCAATTTTATTTCTTTTCCTTCTTTTAATTGTTTTTTAATTTAAATTATTTTTTTTCTTTTATTATTTTTTAATATAATTTTATTTTTATTTTTTCTTTATATTTTATTTTTTCCTTCTTATTGAATTATTTTTTATTTTATTTCTCTTTTCTAATTTTAGCTAGTTTTTTATTTCATTTTTTTAATTTAGTCTTTTATTTATTTTCCCTTTTTAGTTAGCTATTTTTCTTGGGTATTTATATTTTTATTTTATTTCATTTCTTATTTTAGTAATTATTTATATTTAAGTTTGCAATTAGCATCATTATTTTTTAATAGACTTTGTTCCTTACATTAATTTTTATTTGGTGTGTGTTTTAATATGAGCACTTTGTTTTTATTTATGTTAATTCCTCAACATGTATATATATATTGTTTAAACATCATAATTTAACCTTTATTCTTTCTTGTGGATTCAGCTTGTTACTTTATCAATATAATGTTTTTAACTTTTTAAGGGTATTCGTTTAAATCAATCGGAGGTAAGTAATTTGGATCAAATTTTACCTTTTAATTTAACTTACAAATTTTCTCAATTATGGCAACTGGAAATTAATTAGTACCGAAAGGGCAGTTCAAAGGTGATAATCCTTCATTGACGGTAACAGACTCCCGAATCTGACATATCTTTGGTAAGATACAGATCAAGTAAGATGGTGTCTATTCGACCTAAATATTTATTTAAATGATCGGTGGCGACTCTAACACTTTTATTTCAAGTCGAAGCCCAATTTCGGGCCCAACCGAAAGACGACATCGATGGCTTGGCGACTCCGCTGGGGACTTCAGGTAAGTGAGTCAGGCTAAGGGTAATTTCCAGTTGTCTTCGTAAGTGAAAAGTGTAAGTTTAAATTTTAAGTTAAATTTTCGATCCTTATTACTTATCTTTGATTATCTTTTCAAATACGTAGTTGTACTGACGTTTTCTTTCAATGGTTTCAGGTTATTAAACTTTTTTTCACCTAAGGCTCTATACCCGAGCTCCAAACCCTTTTAAGTGGGAGTGAAAGGGACGCCTTCGTGAGAATTTATTCTCCGCATATGCCTAGCAAGTAGCCTTCGGGATTCATATACCTTATGTCTTCGTGTGAATATATTCTCCGCATAGACATAAGGGAATGTATACTCTCGAGTTTAACTTAGTCCACACAAGCTTGTAATGGGCTTAGGACTAAGGGTCTGACAAACCCAAGGGGGCACCGACAATGAGAACTCGGGTACCTTCTTTGGAACCTAAACTGAAATTAGAGCCTACCTTGAAACCCCATTTCAAAACCTAGGATGTTTTACTTTACTCATGCAGTTTGTCATTTTTATTTTTACTTTCATCATTTATATTTTTATCTTACTAACCAATTTTTTCTTTCATGTTTGTCTTTTATCATTTGCATCACAAAAAGAGGTCATTGATCCATAAAAAAGGTGTTCGTTACGCACAAATAATATGTATTAATGGACAAAGGGGTTGTAATATAAGAGATGAAAAACATCGAGGTACGACTATGGCCCAAAAAGACTCAGAAAGAAATGGGAGACAATCTACAAGGAAGCTATGTGTCAGAATTGGTTAGCTATGCTTCTGTCAGCCTAAATAAGAATGATGTTCAAGAGCTACAGAGCATTTGGGACAGCTGGAAGAGTGACCAGAAATAGATGTTCAACCAGCGGTATGGTGATA